TAGTATCAAGTCTCAGAAAGTTCCAGACATCCCGCTTTTGGCGGGACAGTCCCAATTTTTAACAATTTGTCCCGCGTCCCACGGCGTTTTAAAAAAGTCCGATTCTTGGAAAGAATGCATGACAAGCTAGGGTATACGGTTTTCGGCTATTTCGCTGGGATATGGGTTTTATCAATGGTGTCCCGCTTTACCAATGTTAAAATCTGGTCACCTTATCCTAAAGGTGACGTTCCAATGGTTACTGAGGAAGTAGTATGCTATACTCATAAAGATCTGTTTGAATTTTCTAATACGTACAAGCAGAAGCCTGGGGAATATCCCTGGGAGTGGTAATGAAGGGTGTGGGATACGGTGCAAGGCATGTAACATTAGACCAGTCTGAGTTGCTGGATATGGGGTCCCTAAGCACAGACTCTTCTTTCAATGTCTCTGCGAGAGAGAGGCTAAGAGAAGATCGAATTCTTTATTTGGTTGGTTCAATGAAGCATGGACTATCAGGTGGCCTCTGGAGACTCCTGTGATTGCTGTTTTATGTGCACCAGGATTAACAGTGGGCACTGCCCTAAGCGGACTCCATCATTTGCCCACAATGGGGCTGATTGGTCCCCGTGGTGGTAGAGGGCAGGTGTCAGCACTGAATCAACAGAGACAGGGTGGGCGTGGTTATAATAGACAACAATCAAAGCAACCTGTCTCATGTGGACTTACGGCATTGGCTATTTAGCCACGGTGTCCCTAGGAGTGAAATAGATGGGAAACCTACTAAATATTTACGTGATCTCTACAGGCAGAAGAATGGTAGATCAGGTGAACAGCAGAATAGACAGTCACGATCACTCAATCAATTCCCAGACCTGAGCCAGTTTACAGACCCACAACCCCTTGAATGAGGGGAAGGCTGGGTCCACTTGGTAGAGATTTATTTGGTTGCTTGTCCACTTGGATGTCAGTTCTGGGAGGGCAGGGTCTGGCCCAGGCTGAGAGAGAGACAGACAGTAAGATCTAGTCAGAACTGGATTAGGTCGGCGAAGCTGTGAATCTGCATGGGAGCATCTTTTTCCCCAAGGAGTGGCAGGTGTGTTTGAACCGCCAACCTTGTTGTCAGTGGTCCAACGCTTTAGTCACTACGCCGCCAGGGCAGAAGGGACAGCAGGTGCAAAGGGCCTGCATGGGGTAGGCTGGTGGGGAGTCAGGGCGTGTGGCCAGCTCTGCAGGGCAGAGTGCAGAGAAGGACGGCACGTGGAGAAGTAAGGACAGTCAGGGCCGAAATGACCAGGCTGGCCACATACTGCGAAGGCTGGGATGCAGATCCGCGGGATGTAATGTGCCCCTTTCCACCCACGACAGAGCAGAGTGGCTTCGTGGCAGGGTCCAAGTTACAGCCGGGAGGGAGCTCCGCCCCTGGGAAGCTCTGGTTTCTCTCCAAGGGCAGTGGGCAGCTCTGGATTTGAGGGAGGGGCTGATGTGCACATGTGAAGCTTCCCTAGGGGCCAGGCTAAAGGCCTGGGGGTCCAGGAGGCTGGGCAAGAGGTCCCTCGGGCCGTGGAGGACAGTGAGGTTTGAGGGCTAGGTGGGCGGTGGTGGGGGTGGGCTGGGTGCAATGGGGCAGGGGATGGGTGGGGTCCGGAGCAGCAGCAGGAACTCGGTCCTGGGGATGTGGCACTGCGGTTACCTTGGGAGACACGTGGGAAGGTGGACGCTGGTGGCTGGGCTGGAGTCACGTGGGAGAGTCTGGCATACAGATTCAGGTCAGAGGCAAGAAGGAGACCACCGTATATACAAGCTGACTGCCACGAGGGACCCTGTCAGATACAGGGGTGACATGCTGGGGAGCCATGGGACCCGCCCCCTCCTATCTCCCAACGTGGGCGGACAGTGGTCAAGAGTCACAACTCCACTGAAGTTCAGAGGTTAAGTCAGAACATGTACAGATATGCAGAGGGGAGCGGGAGGGAGACAGAGACCTGAAGTATTTAGGGAATTCATGTAGAGTCTGGCCCTTAGCACCTGAATAGTGAGTGCAGGGGAACAGAGAAAGCTGGGGGTGGGGGGCGCGGTGTGTGTGTGTGCATGTGGTGGGTATTTCTAGGTAGTCTGGCTTAGATCAGGAAACAGCCACCAGTGTCTGAGAGGGGTGTGGGGGAGGGGCTGGATGGCCACCCTCTGTGGTGGTGACCCAGTGCTTGGCTGGACAGTTTGTGGCAAGGGCTGCCACGTTGGGGAAACGGTTCAGATGGATTGGTCATGGCTGCCTTGAGGGGCACTGAGCTTGGTGGGAGGCAGTGCTGTGATCAACTAGACATGCCTGCTACAGGCCCAGAAAGGGGGGAGCTGACTAGTTAGTTCCGTGCAAACCCAAGTCCTTTCAGGATAAGTTTGGGGTGTCAGGATGGATTGGAAGTGGCAGGATGGAAGGTGGGAGGCCAGTTAAGAGGGTGGGGGGAGTCTGCCAGCTCATCAGAACTGCTCCTAACGCCGTGGGTTAGTCTTTGGGCTGCTAGTTGGGAGGTCAGCCGTTGCAAATTACTTGCTGGGGAATGGCAAGGGTTCTTGCGAGTGGTTTCAGAAACCGGCAAGGGCAGGTCCACCCTGTGCTCCGGGGTCACGATGAGTTAGAACCAGCTCCACGGCGGTGGTGAGTTTTTTCTTGAAGTCGTTTATGGTGGCTGGGCGGGGAGGGGTGGCTTTAGGAGGGGGCCGTAGGTGCGGTGAGGGGCAGGCTTGTTCTCCAAAGGAAGGAAGCAGGTGATCTCGACGTTTCAAAGCGTCAACCTGGATGGCAGGGTCAGATGTCTCGTAGAGGGTAGGGGTCGCAGTGGGTCCAGCCTTGGCATCCTCCCCCCACCCCCACCTCGCTGGGTCTGCAGGGAGGGGGGAAGGGACCAGGCCTGATGACTCTAGGGGGAGGGCCCCCAGCTTCACACCTCTGGTGTCGTTTTTTATTTCCTTTTTTTTAAATAAGATTGATTTATTAACTATGATACATATCACATAAGGCCTTTTCAGGGTTTTTTTTTGTTTTGTTTTTTCTTTTTTTTCTTACACCATTCCCATTGAGACAAGTACAATACTTTGTAGCAAATACACGATTTTAAAAAACAAAACCAAACGTGAAACACCTCAGCAGTCCGAGATGCCGCAGCCCTGGGCCGGCTGCCCATGCACTAAGATCCGGCGGGAGGCCTGGACAAGCCCACGTGTCCAAAGGAAATCTGGGAAACGTAAGCAAACATTCCTAACACCCACTAGACGACGTCCCGGTTAAGAGCCCCTAAGACACAAGGTAAAGACGGTTGTACTTCGGCCGCCGGCCGCCCACCGGAACCACGCACGCGTGGCCCGGGCCGACTCCCTCTGCGGCTCCCACCACCACCAGGTTCCAGGTTGGCTTCCTCCCCGTGCCCCTGCCTCACCCTCAGGAAACGCGAAATATTTTTGTTAATCCAACATATAAAGGTCATTTAACATGTGAAAATACAAGTACCAGAAAAATAAGCTGGCAGCAGCACTATCCCGAACTTTTCAAACACGTTTTATTCCCAGACATTGCCTTTGTTGACTGTACACGGGCACACGGTTCTCTGAGCGCATACAATAACTTAGGCCCTGTCGTGACTGCTGAGGGACACCGGTGGTGGTGGGCGGCGGAGGCAGGCCTGCTCTCCAAGTGTGTGGGGGGTGTCTGTCTTCCTGTTCCCTTTCCACTTCGCACAATCGAGTGGCTTGTACCTGCCAAGCAACGGGCGGGGCAACCTCCAACCCCTGGTCCCTGGCGGGTGGCTGGCAGGCCCCTGATACATAAGCCATAAGTCTGGGTAGCATGTGCCACGGCACCTGGGTGACCACTGAGGAACCCGAGGCTGGTCCCACACGCAGCAGGGGGTGTCCTGACCAACAGCCTCTCTCCGGTCTGGGGCTGCCAACACCTCAGGGCGCTGTCCCCAGCAAGCGGCACGGGACACCAGCCGTCCATGGAGATTCTGCCTCCGGAGACCCGGGCAGTGTTGGCAGGGGATGAAGTGATGACGTGTCCTCCTTGGGGCGGGGCTGGTGGCCCTGCACAGACACGAGTAGCACTTTGCCTATGGCCTGATGTCCCTGCGGGCCCTGGCCACCTCCTGGTCCAAGGCCAAGACCAGCTGGTGACAGCAGCAGGAGGGAGGGGACGCGATTTCTGCCGCCCTGACCCCAGCTTGCTCTCAGGGGTGGGTGGGGTGGGGTTCAGTGTGGGTGCAGCTCCTCCTCCCTGCCTGGCGAACACATGCAGAACAGCCCCCTCCGTGTGGTCTCCAGGTGTGTGTGCACCCTGTCCTACATGTGACCCTCCGATGTCACAGAGCCAGGGGGTTTCTATCCACCCAGTGAGGTGGCCACAGGCCTGAACAGAGGCAGGAGACGGCCGGTGTGTCCATGCGGGTGAGCGCGTGTAGGGCCCTGGCCCAGGTGCCAGCTGGTGGCAGTGTTAGCGCCTGCCCACACTGGCCAGTCCCTGGGAGTTGACAGCAGTGGGTTGGCAGGACCCGGGAAAGGAGGGGGGGCTACGAGGGGCTGCCCCCTGGCTGCCTGGGTCCCAGAGCTCGGGAAGGCTACACGTGCCCCACCTTGGCACCCACCTGGTGCCTGAGGTAAGCGTGCCTGTACCTTGGGTCGGTGTAACTGGTCTTAGAGGCGGTGAGGCAGACATGGAGGGGTCCCTTAGTTTTCCCGAGCACCTTGCCTGGTGTCCACAGGGATATATGCCCAGCTGCAGGGCAGCCAGAGAGCCTGATCTTTAGGAGAGTGGGCCGTGGGGATGGGGCAGCTCTTGGGGGCAGGCGGTGGGCTATGTGACTGTAGTGACTGAACACCCTGTCCCCAGACAGCCCCACATGCTGCTGCTTAAAGTGCAAAGAGACCCGCCTCCCTCAGGCGAGGGGACCTGGGTGTGAACTCCTTGGGGTGAGACTGGCTGTGGGGCTCCTGTGTGCACTGAAGGGGGGGGGGGGGGGGGGGGGGGGGGGGGGGGGGGGGGGCGCCAGGAAGCTGAGGGGACGGTCACTTCTCAGGAAGGGCTGAGCAAGGCCACAGGAGGGCAGCAGTGAGTGACCTGCAGGCAGTGACAGCCAGAGACCACCACTGTGGGGGTAGGAGGGTCCGGGTTCCCTGAACAACACCCAGAGACCTCCACCCCGTCACTGGCAGGGAAAAAGAGCCTGCATGGAGCCCCCTGGTCCTGCCCCAGGTCCATTCGTGCACACACGCGCTCACACTTGCTCCCACAGGGTCGCTCGTTCACTCACTCACACTAGTGTTTCACAATTATGTAGTGTTTCTGGCAGCCCCCCAGCAAGGGCTCAGTGCTGTCCTGTGGGGCAGGGGAGAGCTGGTACCCACTGCCCCATCCGTCCGTCCATCCCCAGCTGGGGCTGTTTGTCCTTTTCCTCTCAGACTGGTGGGGGTGGGGTGGGGGGGAGGCTCCCGCCGCTCCTCCAGTACTCCCTCGGCTGTCCACGGCTGTGTCCGGGGGCCGGGCTGACACTCAGCACCGTGCCTGGTGGGGAGCACACTGGGTGGTCAAGCAGGCCCAGCCCTGGCCAGGGTACAGACACGGGGTGGGAGAAGACAAAGTGGGGGGGACACGTTCTCTTCGGGGCAACAGCCCGCCCGGCGCCCTGTGGCTCTGCACGGTCAGCGAGGCCTGGGGGGTTCCTCAGAGGGGTCCAGGGCAAAGGGCAGGTCCTCGGCTGGTTGGCAGGCCCTGGGTGGTCTGTGCGAGACCAGGCCCGCGGCCGTCTGCGCGGAGAAGGAGGTGCTTGAGCAGCGCAGCCCCGCTCACAGCGTGTGCTCGGCCTGGAGCTGTGCAGGCAGCAGGGGCTGCAGCGGGGACTGGGGGGTGGGTGGGGGCGACTGTGGGGGTGAGGGCTGGGTGGGGACGGGCGTGGAGGTGAGGAAGGGCACGGTGGCAGCCAGGCTGGAGGGGGAGCTGGGCGGGGCGCCGGCGGGCTCGCCGAGGGGCCGGTTGTGGAAGAAGAAGGGGCACTGCTGGATGAAGAGCTCGATGATTGTCTGGTAGGTGCGCGTGGCCGTCAGCGCGTCCATGGTGCTGAAGTCCGGTCGCATGAGCGTGGGCCAGAAGCAGATGGAGAGGTTCTCGCTGGTCATGAGATTCACCTTGTTGTTGTGGCTGACCCTGCGGGGACACGAGTGCCCGGTCAGCACGCTCACTGCCAACTCCACCCCCACAACCCCACCCTCTGCGCCCAGCTGGCTGGGGAGGGCTGGCCACTTGGGGACACAACACAGGCCTGGAGGCTGGAGGCCTGGGCAGGGCCTGGCCCCCCACCGGCCACCCTGACTCGGATGGGCAGGTGACTGGGGGTGCTCAGAGTTGGGGAAGCATCCCTCCCACCCGGAGAACCGGAGCCCTGGTGAGTGGAGGCTAAGGGCGGGCCGTACTTGTTCAGGTGTGAGATGACGTATTTGAAGACCTCGTGGTTCTCCCGCGGGAACTTCTTCAGCACCTCCTTGAGGGCGTGCAGCTTCTGCTCCCGGTCGTTGATTTCTGTGGGAGAAAGGCCAACACTGACGTCCCTCGGTGGGGAGTGGACGGCGGTGGCCACTTGGGCAGGTGTGCACTGCGGGGCCACCGGATGGGGCCCCGTGGGACTCTCCTCTGCCCGACTGGCTGACCCTGGAAACAGGATCCCAGAGCGGAAAGCTGACTGGGGAAGACGGGGCCTGCCCTTTCCTGATGCCTGAGTCTGTGTGGTGGGGCCAGTGGAAACTGCAGGGGGTCTGTGCCCAACAGAATCCTAATGGGCCGGTGGCCATGGCAGCATGCGGATGCCAGGCCAGCGCCAGCTAGGCCTTGCTGATCCCAGACAGAATCAGCCCAGAAGCGGCCCCAGCACGTTTTGCTGACCCATCTGCCTGGTCGGGGGCAGGTCATCCTACAGTGGTGACTGGGACTCCAGGCTCCAAGACCATCCCCCGAAGCCACGTCTCCCTCCGCCGGCCTGCCCAGACACTGGGCCTCCCCTGCACCCCTGACCGCAGTCTCACACCAGGCCCTAGGACCACTGCCTGGCCTGACACGATGACCGGGGGGCTTCAGCTGAGGCGACTCCCCCGCTGTCTCCCAGCATCCCTCGCACGTGGCAGGAGCCTTAGAATAGCATGTTGCAGATGCCCACTGTCAGGACTTTCTTCCGCAGCGCCCTGGGTGGGCCCAAACCCCGACAGCTGCGCCCAAGGACACAAGCAGGAACACCGCATCCCGGGCACACCAGGCACCTCCACCCCATCCTCTCAGGTACGTGGAGAGAGTGGGACAAGTTGCGTGGACATGGGACACAGCCAGGGACCTGTTTACATTTGCCTGGCTGGTGCAGGGCCCTCTGACTGCTGGCTGGCAGGGGCTGGCTGGGTGGGTGGGTGGGTAACACAGAACACAGGGAAGACTCCCAGCCTTTCCCCGGGGAGCGGCAGGCTCCTGCCCTCCCACCCCCTCCCCTGCACACAAGGCCCTAGAAACAATGGGGCTCTGCAGGTGCAGGGGCGCTGCCCGCCGCTAGGTGGCGCCCAGCAAAGACGAACTCCACAGCAGGCAGCCCGGCGGCCCTGCTCAGAACACTGATCCCAGACAGCTACATCCCCTCAGCCCCAGACCCTGCGGGCAAGCAGGGCAGCAGCTGGTGTGCCCGGGACACTCACTGTGGGCCTCCACCAGGTCGATCTGCATGCTGTAGGGGACCAGCGGGTCAGGCAGCTCCGAGAAGAAGCTCTTCATGGCTCCGGCCACCGTGTTCACGGTGAAGTCCTTTTCCGCCAGGTCCAAGTTGTGGTCTGAGGAAGGGGGACCTCGTGAGGCAGCCGACCCCTCCGACCCCTGGGCACCCCAACACCCACCCCCTCCTCAGTCCCCTCCCTCGGGGAAGAGGGACGCAGCCCAGACCCGGGCCTCCACCTTCTCGCTCTCCCCACTCCAACCTCGGGCATCTGTCTTCCCACAGATGCAGGCACCCCGGCTCTTCAGAAACCACCTGCCCATGTCCACTTTTGGGGTGGGGGAAGGCACCATAGAGCTATGCACACCCAGGCAGTGGCTCCCCCCTCATTGGGCCTTACGCTTCCTGCCTCGCGAGGGTGAAGGTGATGCGTTCCCTGCTCCCGCTGGGGGTCGTATGCAGCCAGCAGGCTGATCCAGACTTGGGTCATGGTGTCTGCCTGCTTCCAAAGTGTCCTGAGGTCCTACCACCTGGAGTGTAGCCCCTGACTGGTAGTGGGTGCTTCCCACCGCACGGTGTGGCTGGTCCCAGGAGGGAGAGCGACAGGGCTGCCTGTGGCCCGGCTTGCAGCCCTGGCCCCATCGGGCTGTCTCAACCCAACTCGGACAGCAGGGAGGGCCTGGCGGGCTGCCCGGCACTGCCCAGCCCAGACGAGCAGGCCTGTCGGTGGTGGGAGGCACGTGCCAGGGTGACCAGGACGCCTGCCTGTAGCTGGACTGGGGCGCTGGCGTCCGGCTGGGCCCGGTTTTCTGCACACAGCCTGGGCAGGCACAGGCCCCGTCTGCTGTGAGAGCCACTGGCCATGAACGGGGCCGCCTAGGCCACAGGCCTCTCGGGAGGGGGGCCACCAGCTCCTGATGGTGGGGGCCATAGGCGAGTTCAGGCTCCAGTCCCATGTCCCGGCGACGAGGGGCTCCCCCGCACCGCAGCACCATGGGGCCCAGGTGACAGGGCCAGCAGAGAGGCTGGCATCTGCCTGTGGGGCAGGGGCCAGAGGACAGCTCTAACCTGTGGGTGGGGAGGGGTGGCAGCCGAGCAGGCCAGGAGGGCTGCTGGGACAGAATGATGGCGGGAAGCGAGGTGACAGATGGTCGCCACATGTGGGAAGCTGGCCTTCTGCGATTGTCCCTTGCGCAGCCCGGGGCTGCCTTACCTTGGTCAAACTGTCTCTGGAGGCTCTCCATCTCGGACTTGTTCCCGCTGACTCGGTAGATGCCCTCGGTGCTCAGACCTGCGGAGGGAGAACAGGGTGGGCTCAGAGCGGGACTGGACTGGGGTGGGGGCACAGACGGACAGGAGGTGCCACAGGGCCTCCCTACTGGAGTCGGGTGCCAGGGGAGGGGGGGCGGCGGCACAGACAGACTTGCCGGAGGGCCTCCCTCCAGGAGACGTGATGAACCACCACCCCGCCCCCATCCCAGGGCTTTTCTAGATGCTTCAATCCATTTCCCTCCAGTTTTCTTTTTCCCTTAGGCAAATTTAAAATATGCTTTTCTGCTAAAAATCAGTACTACTTAGTATATCAGCTCAAGGTCACTTTGTCCCCAGTCTGAGGTGTGCTCTTGAACCTCCTGTGAGAAAACACGGTAGAGGCAGAGACACTCTCTGGTCTGTCCCTCTCACCCCGGAGCCCAGGGGAGCTGTCGAGTCGGCGGTTCAAACCCTCCAGCTGCTCTGAGGAGGGACGACGAGGCTGTCTGCTCCTGTATGGTACCCCTTAGGGGCTAACTGTTCCAGCCCGTCCCTCCGAGCCCTGCTGAGTCGGCATCGAGAGGGAACAGGCCCGGGAGGCACAGCACACAGGCCCGGCTGGTCACCCCGGCAGCCTGTGGCTTCAACTGCTCCAACCACGAGGACAGGCGTGTGTGGCAGGTGACCGGCCGGGAACAGAGAGCAAAGCCCTGCAAACTGGTGTGCAGGCTGCTGAGCACACAGGACCCCCGCACTGTAGCTGAGGCGCTCACAGCCCTCTCCTCTCCTTGGGAGGCAGAGCCAGAGGCTCCCTGTTTCTGGAGGGGCCCTGCAGGCACCCTACTAAGAGGGGCTGTGGACCAGGAGGTCAGGGTGCCGTCTTCTTTCCCAGCTGTTCCCCGAGCACTGGGGGCAGGTGAGAGTCTCCATGGAGCTGACCTATGGTCTGGGGACCACCCACTTGGCCCCCAAGGTGGTGCTCAGGAGGCTGGTGGTGACCGTGGCTGGAGCCTGTGCCCGGGAACCGAGGCTCTGGTCCTAGCCGTGGCCCAGCCGCCTCTGTCCCTCGGCCGCAGGTCAGCTGCTTCCCTTCCAGCGGCAAATCTCGGCTTCCTCCAAGACAAACTCTGACTCGCTTATTTGTGACTTTCTATATTTGGACTCAGACACTCAGCACTTTAGCCCTCCAACAATTTCTTGAGGCGCGGCCCAGGTCAGTGCCACAGCACACAGGGCTTGGCGGTGGAGGGCAGCTTTTGTCCATGGCCCTGCAGCAGAGCGGGGCGGTGGGGGGAGCTTGGTGGTGGCACACCGGGAGGCGTGGGTTTGCACCCGGCTCCACCATCTCACCCCCTCCCTCCTCAGACTGCTGCTAGGGGTACAGGCAGGCCCTCTCTGCAAAGCCTGTCCGGAAGGGACCCCCAGCTGGTCCGCCCGCAGGTGTGGCTTGTGCTAAGACCCAGCCCAGGGCCTGGGTCACCTGAAAGACCCAGCCCATGACCAGCTGTGGGCCACAACCCCCGCCATGGGGACACAGGCAGGGCCAGGCACAACAGGGTGCATTAAAGCAAGGAGCGAAACGGCCACCACCAAGCACAGCCTCTGCAGAGGCCGCCCCAAGAATGACCAGTCAACACTGTCCTCCCACTAACTCCTCGAGGCCGCTCGCCCACATGGGAACGGAGGTGCTAACCCCAAGTCAGCTCGGAAACACCAGCTGCTGCGGAGGCTGGGTTTCAGTCTCTGCCCCACAGGGTCGCTGTGAGTCCACACTGACTCCGTGGCAGGAGGAAGGCGCGGCTGGCCGCTCTCCTGGGGATGGACGGCTGGTCTCGGGGACATGGGGGAGGTCTGCTTTGTCCCGAGGGGGTCTCTGTATTCAGAGGCTCAGCCATGCGCCAAGTCCCCGTGTCTCTGATCCGCGTGCAGTCAGCGCTACGCTCCACTGTATCACTTCTGACACCCACACCGCCAGGGTGCCAGGACTGAAAATGGCTTCCCTTAGAGGGCCGAGAGCCGTGCCTGAGACCCCTGACCGGTCCCCGCCCCAGGGAAGCTCGGTGGTGGGGAGGGGAAGGCACCTGCCCTCGCCCCTGCTCTCTAGCACAACCCCACCCAGCAGCCTGGGACCCAGGGCTGAGTGTGGCTGAGTGACAGGGGATGACAACCTCACAGCACGTCAGATGGCTCGAGCAGCTGGCTGCATCTAGGTGGCTGCCTGAGGGCGACTGTCATTTGCCGGGAAGCTGGGCTTCTGGACCTTGCCGGGAGCCAAACCAGGGACCCTGACATTGGAGAACAACCCCATCCTGAGGTGTGTTCAGGGCGGCCCCGCCCCCCCAGTACCCACCGGGTCAGCCTGCGCCCACAGCCAAGGTGAACAGCTGGGAGGGCTGCTCTCCTGCCAAGATCACGGCCCCCTGGGACCGAAGTGTGACTCTGTCAGAGCTCTTGGCAAGCCCTGGCACAGGCGATGGCAGGGGGCTCTGAGGGGTGTGTGTGAGTGTTGCCACAGGGAGGGGCCTCCAGGCGAGACAAAGAGCCAGCGGCACTGGGTGTCGGTGAGCACCCAGGTACACCTTCCCCAGCACCTGGTCCCCCGGCAGCACCATTCTCATCACCCCGCCTCAGCTCCCTCAAGGGCAGAGGTCCGTGCCCTCCAGGCCCTGATTTACATGGAAGCCGGGGGTCACCATCATGGTCGGGGCCCAACCTGCCCCCAGGCTTAGAGCCCTGGACTTCCTACAAATCTGGGTCTCACCCAGGACACCCCCTCTCCCCCCAACACACACTGCCTCTGGCCCACCCCTGCTCCCACGCC